CAAACCCATTCTTTTAATCTTTTGTCAGCACTTAATTCTTTTGTCTCTAGTCTAGGTGCATTAACATTATTTGCTTCACAGTTATATCTATTTTTGACTACTCATGTAAGAGGATTTTTTAGTATTTCATTTTCTAATTTAGCAAGCCAGCTTGCTTTTTTTCTTTTAAAACCATGCCATCTGCCAATTTGACTTGATTCTATGTGTGTATTCTTTTGCAATAAGTTGTTATACTAGAATTAGACCTAGGCTACTCGCTTTCATTTCCTCATACACCATGTTCAAACGCTTAAAGACATATACGATCTCTTCATCATTCACCGTTCGTGTAGTATCTAAATCCCAACTCTTTGTAATTTCGTTTTCTTCTATTACAAAGCCCAGAGTGCGTACCTGTTGCAAAATGTTTATATCTAAATTGTGACCTTTTGTCACTTCTTTTGCTAACAGATTCTGATTTGTTAGAATGCAGCTCAAAAATCCTGCTCTTAATTGGCTCTGCTTGAGCCTTCTTGTTGATGATTCTTCTAATAAACCTGGTGTATTTAATTTAACTAATAACTCTGATATATGATGCTCCCATGTGTTTATTTCAAAGACTTTTGAGGTCTGTAATCTCTGGGTGTTTTGTTATTATATTCACTGTTGTGGACGACATCGACATTTTTCACTTTATTAAGTGAATCATTAGTTGGTGTATTCTCTCACACTGTGCTTTAGTTAAACATAAAATCATTAATCTATATTCAAGAGTAAGTATAAGAATTGTATTGTTTATATATATGATCTAGCTCAAAGACATCTGTTTGTGCTTGAGGAGACCTGTAATCTTGCCTACTATACATTTTGCTTTGAATATATCAGACTTTTTTTGGTTCTTGATTGATATCCAGACCCCTAAAAATCTTGTGGTTTCTTTAGTAGTAATGGTACCCGACCAAAAAAATACTACCCAAATATCCGACGAGTAAACCTGCGGGTTACCTGGATGATCTACAAATATATCCGGATATAAAATTCTACCCGATATACCCAGGTAAATTAATTAAATACTCTTACTTTAGATTACTTTTCTGTTCAAATGACCTTTTAATTTAATATACAGTACAATTCTATAACTTTCAAATAAAATATATTAGATTGCTTTTCTATTCAAATGACCTTTTAATTTAATATACAGTACAATCCAACCTTTTAATTTAATATACAGTACAATTCTATAACTTTCAAATAAAATATATTAGATTGCTTTTCTGTTCAAACGACCTTTTAATTTAATATACAGTGCAATTCTATAACTTTTAAATAAAATATAGATAAGTTTATTACCTTATTTATCATGCATAATTTATTTATTAATTCAATGTTAATGTTGCCTTTTAACTTATTGCTAAATACTCTATTAAAATTTTTAATAAAATTTATTCTATTGCTATAGTAACTTAAAAATATTTATTATTCCCAAGCTTTTTTACAATATAACCTATTTTGCTTAACAAATAGTAATTCGTTAACTACTTCAGGAGATAAACGGGTTCTTTTGCAAGTAATTTGATTTCCCATGTCAGAAAAAAGATGTTCGCTTGGAACGGAAGTGGCTAGGATCAATAAGAATTTTCACGCCACCCTGCTTAATATAGAAAAGGTGCTCTGATTAGTATTCCACCAGTCATAAACGTCAATAGATTCAGGTTTAATTGGTGTAATCGATTCATTCAAATAATTATCAATTTCAATTTCACAGTTTATCTGGGGTTGACTATAGCTAAAAATTTTTTTCATAAATGTAGGTGCAGATGAAAACGCTCCCATTTCAACAATTTCAACTAGCTTGCTGTTCTCAACTATACTCTCCCAAGCCTTAAACTCAGCACATAGCTCTCTAATTGTTCTATTTCGTATTTCATTTGACCATGTATTCATCGATTTTAACCTTGGATTCAATATGGTAGCAATTAATCCAATATGTTCAGGATCATGCCAATAATGTTTTAGAGAATTATAAATAACTTTTCAAACTTCTGAAATTATTCTTTTATTCGAAAGTAGCCTGCAGTTGGTCATATCTTCAACTATATCATCCAAATTTTCATCACCAAATTCATCATCAAAAGCTAATATTTTATCATAAGTATTAAGAGTTTAATATTTAATATTGCAAATAATTAAATTAAAAGACACTTTATTCACTAATAGTAGTACGTATCAAAATTAAATTAAAAAACTTTTATTTTCACCTTCAGGTGCGCTTTCATTGTTATTTTTAAGCTCATCCGAAGTAGACATATTATTATTAAAAAATTCAGCTTTTAATGCCTCAATGGTTGGATTAACAACTGAAAGGGTGGTATAACAGATTCCACTAAGATAAGTAGTTAGTTCATCAAATGGGTTAAATACTTTTATCAATTTTTGTAACAGCACCCATTCAGTATCATTGAGTATAAGATTTTTTAATTTATTAGAATCCGCTATAATGCCATCCTCATCTCCCAAATGTAGAGTATCTAAAAGCCATTCAATTGCTGGACACAGTACTAAAAGTCTTTTTCAAAACTTGTATATCGAGTTCTAGCGGGTTTTAATATCACTAATTATAAAATTTTAGATACTACTTCAAATATTTTCGATTGATCATTGTCATCAATTTCTACCTCAGGTGAGCTTTCATTTAAATCGTCAAAAGAATGTAATTGAATGGAAGTTGGGGTGGTTTTACTATGTTGAGCTAATTCTATCTGTGCCTGGTTAAGGCATTGACTCTGCTTTGATGATTGAAAAAATTTGATTAGTTCATCAATTTTTTGGGTATATGGTTTTATAACTTTCAGGGCCTGAATGACTGTTAGTTGGAGAGTAAGAACTGAGCAGGGAACGCAGTCTACACCATCCCAGATCCTAATAGCTTTTTTTATATTTGCGCTATTATTATTAACAGCATAAATTATTTTTTCACCTAATCCAAATTTATTAATTTTTTAATATAGGTATTCTTTGATTCTTTTACTGATATATGGGTAATCCATTTTTTTAACAGCCAATATGGCATTATAGATTTTGAAGTCTTGTGCCAACCAATGGACAGTCATACTGATATATGCATTATTATTTTGAGATGTTCATAGATCTGTAGTGATTGAAGCTGTTTCACAAGTAGTAAGAAGTAATTCTTTCATTTCTATTACACTTTTTTGGTAGGCAATCATGAGATCTTTTTTAATATTTTTGCAATTTGGTGGTTTAAACGCTGGGTCAACTCTATTAATTATTTTTCTATACCTTATTCCATGAACAGTAGTAAAGGGCAAAGAGTCAGTGATCAACCACTTAGCAGTAACTCTCCTTAGTTCCGCTTGTAATCTGTTCCACATTCTTCTTCTTTTCTGTTTCTAAGTATGATTATCTTATATATTGTACGTTCTTTTTCTATTTGAAAATAGTCCTATATAGCTTTTTACATAGCCTTTTTTGACTACTGGATCAGTAATATTTACTCAGATTTTTTTTACACTTTTTTCTTCTTCATTTCCATCAATAGTCTTTCTTCTGGCTGTGGTACTACAAAGTTTATCATCATTATTTTGAGGTTCGGCATCCGAGTTAATATAAGAGTCAGTACAAGGGTCATTAGAATAAGGGTCAGTATAAGGGTTAGCATAAGGGTCAACGTTAAAATTAGCATAAGAGCTAGTACAAGGGATACTATCAGAGTTATATTCATTGTTGCTATCCATGATTGTTAGAAATAATAACAGAGAAGGTTAATTTAAATAAGGCTTTTTATTGTGTAGTAAGTAGAATCTAATTGTTTATTATTATTTTTTTTTTTTTGAACAATGAAGGATAAACCGAGAACTTTTTATATGAAATTTTTGGAACTTATTAACATAAGATTTTTTTTATAAATTACTTGAAAATTGACAGAATTCTATAAGTTTTAGCAATTTTATTGTATGCATTTGTGATTTTAGTAAACTTTGGCAATTTCATTGCATGCATTCGTGATTTTAGCAACTTCGAGTGCATTTGTTAAGCTTTGACCATTACAACTTAATTTTCATAATTTTTATTTTCTTAATTTAGTAATCAAGTTTACATTTAGAATTTTAGCAATTCTGGTAATGGTAAATTGCATTTTACTATTTTTGGCATCATGCTAATTAGGGGCCTAATGTAAATCAGGTGATTTCCATCTCTTAAGAGGCTACCCCCACCCACCCACATCTGATACCTTATTAGCCAATCAAATTGCACAAAAAAGTTATATAATTAATAAAAAATTTCAATATCATATAACTTTTGATCTACTAAACCAATTTGGATGATTTAACTACCAAAATGAT